TAGGTTGGCCAAAATGAGAGAAGGGGAGAGCAGGTGAAAAACGAGGTGTCGCCGCAGCTTTGTAACTCTAATTCCTCTGTTCACTCCGGCTTTGACATTGCTTATGACATTTCTTGGGCAATTTTCATAAAATCTGTGAAGTTGCTTGCAGAAAGGTCTGCAGCTCTGAGAACTTCATGTGTGTATGTCCTGAGTGACCCAATGTACATATTCAAACCCAGATGGCCTATGATATTGTTACGTAGTCGCCTGGATGCCTTTTCAAACTTATGCAAGGAAACCAAACCTTCAGATTGTTCAGGAGCGGACGCGACGAGCAGAGGCTGTGTTCCTCCTGTGACTTTTTTTCGTTATAATCGCCTTGATCTTTTCTTTTTGATTGGAGTGTCACCAGTTCCAGTCCTACCACGTGGGGGGCTGACTAGCTGCTCGTATCTCTGCTACATTTTAAGGTGTGATTGTCAGATTCGGGCAAGTTTGATTACTAATGCTAGCCATTATTAACACTCTGTGACTGTCAGAGATGAAAATGGAAAACATGTTTTGCAGCTGAGACTTTTTGTCTCCCTGTAGCCGATTCTATAGTCTAGTTTTAATGGTTTAATTGCATTTGCCTGGGGACCGCTGATGCAAGGACCGGCGTCCTAAGCTGTACTGGTGGCCTTGCCATAAGGGGGGAAATATCGGGGTGATTCACGCTTGGCTTCCAGCCTGTCTTTCTCTTCTAAGCTAAAGTCCCATCCTCCTCAGTTTCCCACCCCTGTCTTCTCAGCCACGTGCTTTTGGCCTTAAATGCCGAGTCTTGTGGCATTAAACTCTGTCGAGCCATCAGAAAGGGGACCCATTTCAAGATCTCGGCATCCTCCTCGCGCTGACTCATTCGCGATCCTTCCCTGTGGCCTTTGCAAGCTGACCTCTTTCTGTCGCATTTGAAACGGGAAGGAAGGAATGTGGTGGCTGCGGCATGACGCTGTGCTTTCAGATCGAACGTCACCTTCTTGTGCCCTGTCAAGGAGCGGTGTGGAGGAGGTGCCACACTGGAGTAAGCAGATCTTCCGGAGGTCTCTGGAGCCTACCCAGAGGAGCTGGAGGCTCCCGCGGGCCGGATGCCCAAGACCCTGCTCGCCCCGTCTCTCTCCGCGCCACCGCTCTGTGCGCGCACGGTGCGGAGATGCCGCCACCAGAAGCAGGGGGTCCAGCTCTGGGCGATCGCCCCGAAGGTGATCTGTGTGCTGTCTCTGGCGGCCCCTCTGCGAGCCGGGAGACAGCGTAGGACCGAGAAGATGCTGATGCTCTCAGTGTCGTCAGCGTCCTCCTGAACCGGGGTTCCGTGGGGGTTTCCATGGTGGTGGCCGTGACCTCACACCAGTAGCGGTTTGGCTACAGACGGCAAGGTGGTGTTCGCCTCTCCGTAGGCGTCACCTCTCGCCAGCTTCTATCTTAGAAACAGGGCTAATTTCCAAGGTACATTTACTGTGTCATTACTGTGCCTCTTATGGCAGGAAATACTGATTTTACACCTGTCCCCACAGTACGCCAATACGCAGTGTCCCTTCCTCCCCTGCTGCTACGGCCTCTCCTCTGTCTCTCCGATAACACTTTAGGCCCAAAGTCCTGCCCTCCATGTGCCTGGACCCCACACACACCTCGCTGCTCATCGGCCCCCGGAATTGGCCAGGAAGCGCATCCTCCTTTTCCTGGCCGAGCAGACACTTTGCGATCTGGACCCTTGTGTAACCTGAAGGCAGAAATGCCACCTCATCTTTAATGATGAGAGTCCATTGCTTGATCCACCTAAAAACGGATGGAGCTTGTTTCAGCCTCTAATTTCTTGACTTCATTTGTACTGTGTTGGAAAAATACGCTACCCACAAAAATAATAGCATAAAAACCTAAAAAGAGCAGGGTATGACTGGCATAACAGAACTTCTTCACTTTTCACAAAAAAGCCGACTCTAGTCTGCTTCACCACAGAGTTGGACAGCATGCAGATTCATCCATTATTTTGAAAATGAGGTTCATTTGATCAAAGTCTTGACTCACACGCAGTGTTTGAGCTTTACGGCTAATAGGTTGCATGACCTTATTTGATCATATTTGAAAGATTATTTCCTGTGTTTGCTTTGGTTTGTTCCTCAATAAATTAAAATGACTCAAACCTTTAACGCTGCCACCTCTGACCCTGACTACAATCTCTAGATGGTTGATTTCGATCAGCCTTTGAAGGCCGGTCTCAGTTTCCTAATTTGTCTCAGAATTTTGAGTGTTGTATCAGGCAGGTTCGGAGACTCGCCTTTTATCTTACACCAAACGCCCCTTTCTAAGAGCCGTTCTGCCTTCGTTTTGGAAGCACTCGGGGTTTCCATAGTCCTTTCGTAGAACACCCATTTCTATTTATTTCTGTGTATAGAGCTATAAAAACAGTAGTGTTATAATTTCAGTTGCGGTTTGAGCATCATCGTTGCTTTTTGTTTAAGATGGTGAATCCGGGCTCCACGTACCCTATTCTGTCTTTAGAAAGCTGTGATGGAGTGTGCAATTATTTGAAGGGAAAATAGTGAATTAAGGTATCTGTTGTTGTTAAGGAAGAAACTGTTGGAGAGAGAAGCATACCGCCCATGTCGCTTTGGTGCAATAACTAAACAGCAAGGGAAAGCTGTATTAGCAACTGCTACAATCCGATGCTTCTCTTATTTATTCCCTGTCCTTTTCTGTTCAAGAGTTTTCTGGAAATTGCTTTACTCCCTTTAACTTGGTTGAATTTTTAAGTTGGTTGATTCTCATAGCTTTTATCACTAGAGTTGGTTTACAAGTATTCAAAACATGGTTTGATAAAATTGAGTTGTGCTCATTTTAACCCACTTCATTTACCTAAAAACTGTAATTGCCGATGCGTGACGCTGCCTTGGATTTTGGTTAAAAGCACTTGTAGTTTAGATGATAAATAATAACTCACACGATATCCTGAGCTGCAGACTTTCCATCATAGAGTTTTGTTTTAAATGACTAGGATTCGGTACCCATGCGTATGTAGGTCTTGTCACATAACCAAGCAGAGCGGTCTTCATGTGGGCCGAAGAGATGCGTTGAAGAGAAAGCAAAGTTCTGGGGCAAATGTTTGCTGAAAACCATCCTATGATGGGAAATCGTAGGCAAAATGTTTTTCAATGAGAGAAAAAATAATCATCTCATTTGTTCAGATGGGAGCATGATAATCTGGCAGCGTAAACTATCCCTAGTCGTGAAAGTCGAAAGCCTTTTTACCGTTTTGCATTCCAGTTTGAATAGTCTGTATTGAAATTTGATTCATATCTTGTGTATGTTTTGGTGTGTAAAAGGAAAAATTTGGTGTTTTTACTTTTGAGATTTTCAGGAAAAGGGCATGTTGTTGGTTTGCTGTAAGATTGTATTCTGTATATATGTTTTCATGTAAATAAATGAAAATCTATATCAGAGTTATATTTTAATTTTTATTCTAACTGAAAAACCCTTTTTACTTGAAAAAATTGTAAGCCACATTGTTAATAAAGTAAAAATAAATTCTATGGTGGTGTCTGTGTCCTTGTGTTGAAGATTATTAATTCTTTTTAGGGTTTGTGTTAGAATTCTTTTTTTTTCTTGCCATGCACTAAAACATATGTATATAGGGTTTTAATAACCATGGCTCTCAAAATACATTACCTTTCAGGGTCACCTGCTAGCTCTGGAACTTTCTACTCAAGGAACTTGTTTTTACTCTTTTTATTAAAACATTGCTCTGGATCCTCGCGTGATCACCTCTAGCTTCCCCATCTTCGATGATTTTAGCTCTATGATTCTCGGGTGCGGCAGCAGAAATACCGCTTTGCGTCTACAAAGTGGTCAGTAAATGACCTAATGTTCGCTCTTAGCATAGGTCTTCTGCATCGCTGCTGAAGAGGAAGGGGTCCCTTCGTCACCCTGCCGTGGCCCCGGGGGCTCTCACAGGCCACCACAGGCGAAGGTGGCATTACCTAGGGACAGTGGTGAGGCGAACGGGGTGGGAAGTGTTTAGGGAAAGGAGGTGGAGGAATGTGGGATGATTTCTCCAAATTACAGACATTCTCAAGCATCTTCCCTTTAAATATATCCCTCTGCCCTGCTGACAAGTTCTGCATATGGAAATTTTTGTTTCGTTTTTAATTATGGAAGCTTTTTATCTTAGTAAAACTTTAATAACAACCACAAAAAAAGCCCGAGTAAGCAGACTAAAGTGGGAAGCAGATCGTTCATTTTCTCCAAATATACTAGCAGCAGATAGGTCAAGGGTTATGTGGCTGAGTAAGTGTGACCACTATTTCCATTTGTAATGAAGATCTTTGATGACAAATTTAAATTTGAATAATAAAGTGAAAACGAAACGCTTTTCCAGCTCTCTCCTTGCCTGAACACTGCAGAACAACCACCCGGTACAGGTGCTTTGTGAAATGACATCGTTCTCAAGATGTGTCCCCACCTGTCATCGCTTCCTACTGTAATGAGACTGGTCTCGGCAGAACCTGGGCTGGGAATCACAAACCCTGACCTCGAAAGGACAGTCGACAGCAAAGGACGTGGCTAATGTCCCGCTAGGGAACTTCTGTGGGAGCAGACGAGGGTGTCAGGCCACACAGGACAGAATATAAGACCGGATGTGAGAAATTCAGGATTTGGGGCCCTTACCCGTCTTGGCCCCACCCAGCAAGGAGGCCAGTTCTGGTAAGCTTTCGTGCCCACCTTAGC